ATCAATAATCCTTCCACTGAAACACACTTGACAAGAGAGGTAGGGTAGACGCCCTTGCAATATCTTCTGAATGTCACTCAGCAGTGATTTGTAATCGGGTTTATACATTTCAGAAAGAAAAATGTACAACCAAATAGAAGATTCAATCCATATGAATCCAGTCTGGACAAGAGTGCTGTTAGTAGAATTTTACAAAATCACCTTTTGATTAGACAGTGGAGATTTTGTAAAACATAAAAAATCAGTAATTTTTGTATCCTGTGGTGACTATACCCATAAAATAAAAGCTTTCTATAATGTACCTTAATGTAGGAATTAATTGACTGTTTTCTGAAACCAATTTTATCTACCTTATGCACTTCAGTTTCTAATACATCTTTCTAACCTAGAAACTTTATGAAACAGCTGTTATTCCATCCATATTATCAATATTGGGAAAAAAAAGGTTCTTGTCTGTTTGTATATGTTAACTAAGGGCTGAATTCCTTATGCTCTCTTCTGAAACTCAGGGATATATGGAATAGAGTCTACAATTATTCATTATTTAAAAAATTAAGTAAGAAAGCACAATAATAACATTCTGGATTTTGAAAATGTTAAATTAATTTTTATTGATTTGGACTTTTCTGTTTACTTGGAGAAAGCTCTTAAAATTATTCTAATTATTTTTTAACAAAATTTAGAAATTTAATATATTTTTAATGCCATATTTTTTCTTAGTTTATACAGGAATCATATACTCAAATTACACATTGATTATTAGTTTATGGAATAGTACTAGAATATTATGAGAAAAATATACATCCCAGATTATTTTCCCCTCAACTTTAATATGTTTATGTGTCCCACATGCTTAGTTATTCAATAAAAAAAATAGTGTGTGTTAAGCATGATTTGGAAGAAGGAATGATGAATTTATAATAAAAGCCTTTGACTTAATATAAGGGTTAGATGAGCTGAGGCATATGACCATAGACTATCACTCTTTTCTTTCAAGAGCAAATTGGACTATTTGAGGAATTTCTGTGAAATCGTAATTATAGCAGAAAAGCATTTTATAATTTCTCATGAAGATCTAAATTGGTTATTTCAAAAAGGTTACTTTGAAAGTGGAGAAAGTGATGAGGCCTTTATGCCCATTTAACATGAGTTCTAATTTCCCTCTGTTGAATTTGTAGTCATTCTTCTCCTTTATAAGTTTTATATTGACAAAGTATAGCTCTACATATTTATGGGGTATAAAATGATGCTGTGAATTTTGAATGCAATGTGGAATGACCAATCAAGCCAGCCAACCCATTTCTCATCTCAGACTTTTGACTTCTTTGGTGATGGGAACATTCATGATCCACCTCCCAGAGACAATGTACAGTACTCAACTATTAACTATATTCCTTTAAGTAAGAGGAATAAGTTTGATTTTTTTTTTGAGACTTGTTGTACAGTATGGTGAATGTGGCTAACAGATGAGTACTATAACATTCCCCTTTCATTCAGTTCTTCAGGGATCAGTGAATTCCAGCCTATTTTGGAAGAAGCTACTGCTGGAGTGTGAAAGAGTACCCTACTCTGTGTGTTCATTTAGTGTTAGGCCTGCTGTTGAGGACCCTGCCGAATAACCATCAGGGGTGACCAGACACCTATACCCAGGGAACAGACAGAGCAACTCACTTCTCACAGGTCATCCAACCATCTCCAGAGGGCAGAGAACTTCTGAAGTTACAACTAAGTTGCTTGTGACAGAAACTGGTAACCCAGGGTGAGGTGCTCTATTAAGGCTCATTCTCCCCTGAGCCACCAAGGTGTCATAGGTTGAATTGCTTACTTTTATATTTTTCTCTCTATGATGTACACTAAAAATAATCTATTCTTAGAAATATGCCCTAATCAATTGCATATGACTAATTAATAAACTATCAGAGCATACTGAAAATTTGATTCTTTTTAGAATAAAATATTTAGCTTTTCCAATGGAAATATGTGGGAAACTTTAGAAATTCTCTTATCATTGAGGTCCCAGAAGAAACTGTGATTAAAAATAATAAAAAGGTAGAAATGTGAGTTTTGACCCAGATCACTATTTATTTTTAATCCAACAAGTGATGAGAAAAATTATGCAAACTCATGCATTTGCCCTGAGTTATGATTGTATTATATTATTCTCAACTGACAATATCTTACTAACTTTGGCTTACTTAAAATTCTGCCTCTTGGGTATAAACACATATCTAAAATTGACTCAGCACATTTAATTCTTTCTGGAATCACTTACTGGTTATCCCATCTACTGAACTTGTTCTGTGTGTTGTCTTTTTTCTGATACTACATTCGCAAATTTGGTCACCTCAAAATTTTTCTCTGTGATAGTTTCTTTACTCAGTTCAATATTTGTAATTAAAATCAATTGTTACGACTAATAAGATGCTAAGATGAACTAATGATTGTCGCTGCTTCTTTTATCTAATATTAATGGAAAGGTTCTGATTAGAGTGGACATTGCCCAGTTATTTGCAGGTCATGTTGGTATATTAATCAGGGTTCTCCAGAGGAACACAACCATCAGGATATATATATATCTGGATTATAAAAGCTGGATAGTTCCACAATGGCTGTCTGTAGGCTGGAGAGCTGGAAGAACCAGTAGCTGTACTGTCCAAGATGCTGAAGCCTCAGAACAAGAGGAATCATTCATACTCTCCCTGTCTGGACCAAAGACCTGCAAACTCCTTGGAGAATCACTGGCAGAGTCCTTTTTGGAAGAGTGAAGAAGCTAGAGTCAGAACTCCTCACGTGATCTCAGCAGCAATCAAGAACCATTCAATATAACTAAAAACACCCAATACATTTTTTTTAAAAAAGAATACAAATAATAATAAATGTTGACAAGGGTGTGGGGGAAAAGGTACACTTACAAATTAAAAAAAAAAACCCTTCAAGAGGAATCAAGCTTGCATTTATTGCTGCTTTCTTGTTCTTCCAATTTTTACTTCACCCAAACTTCCAACCTATTGCACAGTGCTGCCCACACTTTGGGTGGATCTCCAGTTTGCTATCCCAATCATTCCTAGAAACACCCTCATTGTCATACTCAGAAACCTATTAATCTTAGGCATTGCTTAATCCAATCAAGTTAACAATTTAGATTTGCCATTACACTTGAAGAATGGGTTGTATTTTCCCACGAGCCATCTCGATATAGTCAAAAGGCCTGAGAGTACTCTCTGGCTGTGATTTTGGATCCAAGTTGCTCAGATGGAAGAAACAATGCTCTTAACAATGTCTGAAAAACACGTTTTTTAAAAATCTCACTACTAAAAAGAACAGGTGCTAATAATAAATATATGAAAACAGTAAATGTTTGGGTATTTATTTTGTGTTCAAAGCCATGTAGATCATTGGTTCAGTTGTATTTTTTTCAACAGAATACATTAGGTCATTTAGTGTCAGAGTATGTAACCATGGATTCTATTTTCTAAAAAAAAAAAAAATGAGAAGTCATACTCTTTGCTCAAATTAACTGAATAAGCTTCTGCCAGTGAATATTCAAGGCTTGTGGAATTCTCCTTTATTGTGTATGAGGAGGTCAGAAAGGAAAGGATTCAGAGAGCAGAGGTATGAGTCATTGTGTGACTTTTGAGATGTATGAATGCTGGTCGATTCTTTATTCTGCTTATGAGCAGTGCTTTGAAAGATTAATTTAAGACTAATCCTTTTCAAAAATTCATGATAGTAGAGGCTTGGGGTGGGATTCTGGAAATGAAAAATCGCTTTTCTATAATTACAAAAATCACCAATTTATAATTTGTACTTTATGAACACAGCAGTTTAACGTGCATCTGTAGATGAATTTGATCTTATCAGATACATGTTTCTTTTTGTTCTTCTTGACATAATAATCAATCCTAAGTAGGGCTTTCTCTACTTGCTGTTAGAAATGAGCTGCCAGATTATGATGTTGATGAAATTTCTACAATTAACTTGATCAAATGGATATACCACATGAGGTACAACATCAGGTATACTGTTTATTTTATCGACAGACATTTGTAAATTAAATATTCCCTAAAAATGACTCCAAATACTTAGTTTTATAGTTTTCCTATATACTATAAAAGGCTATGAGTGTCAGAATCTTCTGATTTGTATAAAGATTGGTGGCATTTTTCTGTAGTATTGGGTTATTAGAGCTGAAGAAAAACTTTTACTGAAAACAGAGATAATCTGAGTAACAAAATTTTGTGTTAGGTAGATAATCTGAGTTTTTGTTAGTTTTAAGTCCGTGTGAAGTATATGCATTATGAGGAATTTCCACAATCACAAATTTGTTAGGAAAGATGTAACTTTTTATGGACAGAAAAGATGGGCTTTTTAGAATAATCAAAACATACGTCATGGGAAATAATTATTCCTTTAGCAGATAATATACATTCCCTGGCAAACGCCCTGCTGTCACCCAAAGAAAATAGAGAGGCACTTATGCAGCACAGCGTGACTGTATGATTGCCTCTAAGCACCTGGTTCTGACAGGAAGTGGGACAAATAAGGAAGAGTGACTTGGAAGAATAGTGCCTGACCAAGGATGGAGAGGAGGGAAGGACAGGACAAAGATTTCTAGTCAGTTGACTAAAAAGGATTGCTTTTGAAAAGGAAGAGTTCATGATGTGTGGAGAGAGAATTTGGACTCTTAATTACTAACTTATCTACTATGGGAAAGCTTTTCAGTCTGTTCTTTTATTTGATCCCTCAGATCATCATAGATAAGGTGGTTATTTTTTTTTTCCTTCGGGTAATGTCACTTTTTGCTCTTATAATTTTATTAAACTGTTGCAATGGACTTGGCTCTGTGTTTTGGTTGCCTTAAGTGATTGAAATGAGAATGTATATATACCTTTCAAACTAGCTTATAACCCAGGTAAACAGCCAGTTTTTATATAATATTATACAGGATAGAGAATGCTATGAAGCAGCAGTATCATCCACTTTACAAGGGAGAGAAGAACTGTATAAAACTGCATCTTCTTTATTTTGCATACTTTAATTGTGGAACAAAATAAAACAAAAACACAATACAACATCCAACCCTGCGGCCAAACTAGGTAGGGGATGGAGAGCTTGAGGCTCTTATTTCCTGCCTTAATTAAGATGCCAAAGACAGGAGAAAAAACCACTATAACATCAATCAGCAGAGGAAGCCAGGTGGGAGAGGGCCACTCAAGGCTACTGTGGGAGCCATGGGGAAACTAAACAGAGGGCAGATTTCTCAGTAGCAACTCCTAATCTACTTCTTCCATGCAAGATGCATCCTCATCACCCTCGAGAGGGGGTATCTCATCAGGAACAGCACTGCTGGGTTCCTCTGCTGTCACTTCATCTTCATCAATGCCTAGGCCTAGCTTTATCATGCGGTAGATGTGATTGGAGTGGGTCTGAGGATCCTCAAGTGAGAAACCAGGAGAGAGCAGCGCAGTTTCAAATAGCAGCACCACCAGGTCCTTGACAGCCTTGTCATTTTTATCTGCCTCTGCCTTTTGCCGCAATGTCTCCACAATGGGGTGATCAGAGTTGATCTCCAGGTGCTTTTTGGCCATCATGTAGCCCATTGTGGAGTTGTCTCGAAGTGCCTGGGCCTTCATAATCCGCTCCATGTTGGTTGTCCAGCCATAGGTGCTGGTAACAATGCAGCAGGGTGAAGACACAAGCCTATTGGAGATTGTCACCTTCTCAACGTTTTTATCCAAGATTTCTTTCATAAGCTTGCAAAGGTTCTCAAATTTCGCCTTGCTCTCCTACATTTTCTTTTTTTCTTCCTCATCCTCAGGTAGCTCCAGGCCTTCCTTGGTCACAGAGACCAGGCTCTTTCCATCAAACTCCTTGAGTTGCTGTACACAGTACTCATCAATAGGCTCAGTCATATATACTACCTCAAAGCCACGCTTCCGCACGCGCTCCACAAAAGCAGAGTTGGCCACCTGCTCTTTGCTTTCACCAGTAATGTAATAGATGGACTTCTGTGTCTCCTTCATGCGAGAGACATACTCTGACAGAGAAGTCATCTCATCTCCAGACTGAGAGGTGTGATAGCTCAGCAGCTCAGAAAGGCGTCGCCGATTAGTAGAATCTTCATGGATTCCAAGCTTAAGATTTTTAGAGAATGCCTCA